TTTCCCTTAAATAGCAAAGTCAAGAAGGCCCATGTACAGTGTGCAAATAAATTCCAAGAAATTGATATGAACAAACTTGGAGAACTTCCATAGCCTCTCCAGTTAGCCTGTTGCAGTGCTACAGTACCCTCCTTTCTAAAAACTGTACTAATGTCCGACCTGTTTTTCTATTTTTTTCCCCCCTATGCTGGCCAGTTATGCATATGTAATATTCAGGTACTATGTAACGAACACTTTATACCTGATAAGCCAATAGTTTAATCTTCATCCAAAAGCAGTTCTATTTACCATATAATAATTACGAGATCAGAAGCTGTAATTCAACCCACTTGAAATAATGATGCTTTTAAGCTATGGTACAGGTTTCAAAAGGCTGAAACATGAAGCACTGCTTAGTTTAAAACCAGAAGTGTTGTTTCAGCCTTTTCTTCCTGAATACATGCCAAATAACTGCTCCCTTGCTCAAGAGAGCAACTTGCCTTCATTCTCATCCAAAAGGAGTACAGCCAAATGAATTAGAGCACCAAAATAACATTTTAAAAAACCACAGTAGGCCGAGTCATGAACTGCTTACGTGACAGGGCTTTTTTTTTTTTTTTTTTTTAAAAGGCATATTCACATGTACTGAAAGGTACGTCTACAGAGTGCAGTGCACTTTTTACTTAATACTTAATCTGCTCCCAGTCTTCTCCTGAAACTTGCAGAGAACCAGTATTCCATGTAACGATCACTTTAGCATAAAGCCCACACGTTCCACGAGACTTTATAATTCACTGCTTGCAAGCATTTTGCTCCAAAATCTAAGGTCACGTAAGGCAGGCATATGGTTGCAAAATACATGGAATGCTAAAAAGCCATTTCCATGATGTGGTTTTGCTTCAACCTATGTAGACCTGACATGCAAATCTAAATACGTAGCTGTACAGTCAGTAAAAACAAGTCTGTCACTGCTACACAGTTACCCAGACTGTAAGTCTGGGCAAGACACCTGCAATATTATACAGAGTGGTAATTTAAACGCTGTATTTGCACAGACTGGAAAAAGCAAGCTAGCACATATCTTTGAGCTTCCATGAGCACTCAGCATATAGATAAAGCAAAAAGCAACTAAATAGTAAATGATAAACCAGAGTGACAGGTGTTTAAGGAACTGGTCAGTGAGAGTGAAATCCACACCTTCAATTAATTGAATTTGGAGCAACAGTTCAATTGATAATTTTAATTTTCAGATTATCACACTTACCTCTTCCTACAGATCATTTTTCCAGAGTGAGCAAGTACATTTATCCTGTAGCCCTGTCCTGCTCCTTACATCCTCGTTTCCCCTCCACCACCACCTCGTCTTTTATTTCCTTACTAGTAACACTCAAAACGCATTACTGCGACAGGAAGAGCTGTGGCCTATTTACTGAACTATGATGAAAATGCCAAAAATCAACCTAATCCTTGCATATTACCTTTGTATTTTACATGAGAAAATCCTTTAAGAATGAGGCTGCATTTCCAGTTGTCAGAGCAATTGGTCCCATAGTCTTTCCACAGAATTACTTTATGAAACTGGTTTTCAGAGTTTCAAAATTTACTATTTAAAAAAGTCACGTGAAATTCAGAAGCACAGACTAGCAGCTATCAGCAACTGTCAGAAGTCATATACACCTAATGTTTTCAGATAGACTTTGACAGTAACCAGACTGAAATATAGTCAGATGAAACGTGAAACCTTTCATCAGCAATATGTACACTCATCACCTTCTCCCCAAGGCAGAATTTATCCTGTTATCATCCAGACAGACGTGGAATAGCAAGTTAACTAGCTCTATCCATTTGCACCTGCCTGCACATCGAGAATCCTTCCAGAGGTATTGTTAGAAGATCTAGAATAGGTAACGCTGCCAAAACATTCACAGCAATAAAACTGAACTTCTGTGCAAATGTCAGCAGCTGGAAAGAATCTGGTATTAGCATGAACTGACAAACATATGCATTGATTTACCTTGGAGAAAACATACATCTCTGTATGCAGCACTCCCTGTCAATCACTGATGGAACGTGCTGTTGCAAGAGCCAAACCCAGTTTTCACGAGCTCTGCAGAACAGGTTATACCACGGCAGCTTACTTCAAATCAGTGGCAGCCAAGCACTTTAGGGCTGCCAGCCAGAACACAGTTAAGATAGGAGGTAGGTAAAGGAGGCAACGGCTCATAGTCTCACAACAGACAGAAGAAAAAAAAGCAGTAAAAAGAACGCGAAGGAGAAAAACTGGCAAATAAATACATCCCAAATCCTTTCCAATTTTCCTTCCAAGAATGGAAATTATTGAATGTTTTCGTACCGAGGGGGTGTGCGTACTAAATTTTGTAGTTTTTAACTTAACAGCCCCTTAATTTGTGGAGGCTGGCTGGCTTCCACAAATAAATGGCATCTACTTCAGTCTGACAGGCAGATTCAGGTAAGCGTCCAAATCACAGCACATCCAGTGTGATGTAAGTAAAACGCAACATGGAAGGCTCAGAAACCTCCCCTGCCTATCCAATAACAATAAAAGCTATTGATTATATCCAAATTCTGAGAAACAGAAAGAAATTGGACATTTTTATAGTGGTTTGTAGAAAAGTACTCAGTTTCACTGAATGCTGCTTTCTGACAAATTAAATCCAGATGTTGCCCTCCCCATTCAACATTTGGATTACATCTCCTACTTTTCGTTTTCATCATTAAAAAAAAGCTACTGAACTACCAAAATACTGGCTTTCTAGCCACTCCCGTTCACCTTTCATGAAATTCACTATTCTTTGCAGTGAAGAAGAAAACTAATCAAAACATCAACAAAGGATCTCTAAGAGAGAAGTACAAACACTAAATACACTGGTTTCTCTGCAGTGGGTGACATCATTTGAAGGGAACGAAGCCTTGCGGAAGGGTACTGCTACCAAGAAACAAGACAGTGATTATTTCGACTTGAAGGAATGTATTACTATCCAAAGTCTCCTTCTATACTCTTGAATAAGAATATTCTTCTTGAATAAGAAGAAACCTGTTCCTTCAGCATTTTCTAAGCTCGCTTTTAGATGGTTAGGACTGCTGGTTGCCAATCTCCATCAGAGTAAAAATTTCTTGTTCACAATGTGGTATTCTCCATGAAATGTTCAAGCAGCCATCAGAGCGTAATTACGTAAAAAAGTAAGAGTGCAAAAACTGGACTGACTTTCACCAGTTTCCACTGACTTTAACAATTGCTTGCACTGAGCAGAAACTTAACAAATTCACTGTCTGTTTACATGTTTAGATGCTGACCCACTGGAAAAGATGAGTCAGACCTATTGAAGTAACAAGGAAAACAGAAAATAGGGCAAAGTCACTACTCTTGAAGGAGCGGTGTCAATTAAGGCACAAAGTTCTATCCACAAAAATATTTGTGCACACAGAGACTTGCAAGGGAAAGCAATTTAGAAAGTGAACTATTCTCTACAGCAAAGGAAATTTTTTGACAGTGATCAAAGCAAGGTTCCTGATATACTAAAAAAGGACATCTCAAATGCACCTACTTTTAGCACGCACTTCTTCCTGTAAGAGATCAAGCTTTAGAAGACTGAAGTGCTCTCCAAAAAATAATTTGGAACCCAACCGACAGGTCAGAATTTTGCTGAAGAGAAAAGTAACCGCTCAAGACTTTCAGAAAAGGAACGAAGAAGTGACAGTTGGTAATGAAGTCGCTTCGTTCCACAGAATGAAGCGGTTCCTCCGGCCGAAAAGCAAAAAAGCCAGAAAAAAGTGCCTGGCCTTAGGACTCCATGATTTCAAACTATAGGTTAGACATGCACAAAATAACTACCTTAGAATTAAGCACTGTAAGCAAAAACAAACAAAAAAAATTCTCCAGTTCTGTTGCAGAGCCTACATTGTGCCCAAGGTAGTTAAAGTCTTGAAAGGAAAGTCATACGAGTATCAAGAGCCTTCCATCAAAACAGCCAATAAAGTCTCTTGAAGAGATCCAATAAACACCCAATAAAAGTGCAAACCTTAAGACGACAAATCTTTGCATTTCTACACCATTTTAAATGAAATAGTGAAATTAGGATTCAAATCATGAAACAAGTTAGCAGAAAGTAAAGATTTTAAACAGAAATTAACATAAAACACACCATTATTTTTCAAAATGAAAGCTTGGGCAATACATGTACTATTGAACTTCAAGTTATTCCTTTAATATTTAGAAAACTGGTTTTATTCTTAGTTTTTCAGAGAATGATTTTAAGTATTAGCACCTACATTGGAAATAACTCAAATTTAATTTTACACTTGCAAAAAAGCCTCAATAATCAATGAAGCTATCCTATATTCATCCATTTTTTAATATTCCAGTAGAGCACCAAGAAGGAAAACAAAGCAACATTTCAGTAATAAACAAGCTCTGTCCTCACCACATACCAGGACCAGATACCTCCCTGGGATAGAATTCAGAAAGTCAGAGTTTTTCAGCGTATTCAATCACCTCATTTTCAGTTATTTAAGGTGGAAATTGATGCGTTTATAAAACTCGTGAAGTGAAGGGCTAGTTTATTAAACCAGAGCTGACCTAAGATGCAATTAGAATTTGACATTTTTCCATACTTAGTTCACAAGTTTATTATGAAAAACACTGCAGCTCTCCTGCAGTAACATTGTTTTACAGAAAAAAAACAGTTCTGTTCAAAGTAATTCACTATGCTTGGACAATACAAAGGACAATATGGTAGGGCAGAGAGTGGGAAAGGGAACTGAGTGCAGACAAAGAAAAAAAAAATCAATACAATTAAATTAAACAGTATTCCCTGAAAATAAAACAAACAGTTTCAGAACAAATATGAGGCCTTGGTACTTATTTTAAAAATGTTCTTTAAGCTTCAATGATTGTTTGCTGCTATCCTTATCTACAGTCATGCTGAATAAAGCTATAGCTAAATGGAAAGTTAAATGTATTCACGAGGTGTTAATGTCTACATCTTATTATTTGCAGTCTCTCAGAGAAAGCAAAAGTAACTACAAATAGCGCTATGCCAGAAACTGGTTTCTTGACCAACAATGTTGCTTCAGCATGCAATGAACTGGTTCATTCTAAAGTGGTCACAGTTGTTGACGACAAGAGGCTTTGTATTTGAATATGGCACGTCTTTTGGTCCATGTGAAAACAAGTTTGAATGTTAAATATTTTCTGACACTTTGGAGTTACTGTTGCTCTTCCCATTTTCTTTAGGTCAACATATGGTTCATGGCAATACTGTACAGGTCTAAAATCTCTTTACAGGAAGTAGTCTGGGGTGCGACGAGTAACATGCGGTTCACCTCTACGTGGTGCCGGATCAAACTGCAAACTGAAAAATGTGCACACGTTAATGAAATTGGAACAGTTTGGTTTACATTCGGATATATTTACGTGAAACATAGTAGCAGCAGTCTTAAAACGCGTAGTCAGTTCAAGTTTTTCAACCAAAGACAATTTTTTTTAGAACAAGCGTTCAACTTCCACTTCTCTTGCTAGTAGGTACTTATGATCTCCATATTTTAGATTTATGATCGCTACCAAAGAACTATGGACGGGAAACAAATTAATCCTGGCTTTAAGACTCAAGTGAAGTGGACAGATATTACTGTCCACTTAGAAAGTTAAAATCTCCAGCAGTTGTCAAAGGGGGCAATTTACACAG